GACAGTTGGAACAATCAATCAGTGGAACAGCTTGCCTCCAGAAGTTGTGAATGCTTCAACACTGGAAGTCTTTAAGAAGATGCTGGATAGCCATTTGTCTGAAACGGTATAGGGTTTCCTGCCTAAGCAGGGGATTGGACTAGAAGACCTCCAAGGTCCCCTCCAACTCTATTGTATTGTATTGTATTGTATTGTATTGTATTGTATTGTATTGTATTCAATGAAATTTAATTGCATATAACTCTCAGAGGGAACTCTTACCTCCAAAATACCACATAAACATGATAAAATAAATAAATACAAAATTATGCATATACCCACATATTTTTCCAGACAGATTTGTTTTTCTTCATATGTACATGTATACATCCAAACTAGACTGTGTTGTTTTTCTGTGTCATACATGTAGGTATATGCATAATTTTGTATTTATTTATTTTGTCATGTTTATGTAACATATATTGGAGGTGGTGACCCTTTAAGAGCTGTATGAAACGAAATGTCATTTTTTAAAATAGAAATACAACTTTCTTTACAAAATAGATAAGAACAAAAATGTGGATTAAAAAGGACAAAATATATTGTTGCAATTGATTTGTCAATGTTACACCACGGGTAATAATATGTGTTTTGGCTTTTTGTCCACTTTGTTAGGTTTTTTTTTTTTAACGTTGGGCTGTGTCTCATAAATCGCTCTAAATTTTCTCACAGGAAAATCAATATTGTTTTGGGATAATATATAAACTCAAGCCCAATTCTTTGAGAAAAAATATCAATATGGACATATTGGAATAACAACAATAGAATAGAGTAAGGAATATAGAATAGAATAAGGAATATAGAATAGAATAAGGAATATAGAATAGAATAGAATAATTACTTTATTTTTACTTTAAACGTACACTAGGCATACATTAAAATGAAATTTAATTACATACAGCGCTCAAAGGGTCACCACCTCTAATATACACTACATAATATAACATAATAAATAAATAGAGAAATACAGAATTATGCATATACCCACATTTATTTTATGTCATATTATTATTTATTTAAATTTATTGGTCTCCCAACTCCTGTGGACTCTGTGAGAAATGCTGCGACTAATAATATATTTTTAAAAAATCCTTATGGTCATTCTTGAGGAAGGTTCCTAGACACAAAAGGGTGCATCTCTTCACTTCCCCGCCTCCTCCTCTTCCTAGCTCTACAGCTCCACTTCCTGTTTCACGGCCCACTTTCAAGATGGCCGAACGAATAACTTCCGCCCAGAAGTCGCCGTTTCCAATGAGCGGAAAGCTTTCTTAAAGGAACGCCCTCCTCCTTCCGCTTTTCTGCGCCGGCTTGGGGTGGGGGGGTTTGAATCTTTCTACGAGGCGCATGCGTGAGGGCGGGCTGCTTTTTTGGGGGGCCACCAGAGTGGGCTCCTTGGGGGGCGACGATGGCGGCGGGGTGCCGGGGGGGCTGTTGCGGGTGCTGTTGCTGCTGCTGTGGGGAAAGAGAGAGCCGCACCCCGGAAGAGCTGGTGAGGGGTGGACTGTGGGGGGGGGGCTTTCCTTGTTGGACCCCCCTCTTTTCAGCAGATTTGGGGGTGGGAGCGTATTACATTTGCATATGCAAATTAGGCTGGGTCTGGTAGCACTTTATTTGCTGTTTACCTCATGGCAAAGCGAAGAGGGCACCTCTGAGCACATACAGAGTTCATTGTTGAACCAAGAGGTTCGTTCTAAATGGGCTGCCCATTTTCTAAGGGTTTGGAAGGGGGGGGCAAATACAAAAAGATAAATAAATATTTTTCTTTTTTTTTAATATTTTCAAAGAAAAAATTTAAAAATATTTTCAAAGAAAAATTTAAAAATATTTTCAAAGAAAAATTTAAAACATTTAAAAGATTTTTTAAAAAACATTTTAAAAGATTTTTTAAAAAATATTTTAAAAGATTTTTTTAAAAATATTTTAAAAGATTTTTAAAAATATATTTTAAAAGATTTTTAAAAAAAACATCTTAAAAGAAATGTAAAAAAAATATGTATGAAGTGTCTGGTGAGACCATTACATGAGAAAATGACAGAAATAAAAACTAATAAGAACTTTAAATAAAAACAGAAAGTGGCATTTGCAAAGCAACGACCTCAGCATGGCCTGGATCCCCAAGGCACTTCATGCAAAATCTTGCTTTTTAGTTTGTTCCCCCCCCCCACCAAATTTTAGTCAGTTATGAATGTACCTGGTTTGCCTTTATCGTATTGATCTGTTAATTATTATTTTTATTTTGCAGACCATCCTTGGAGAGACCGAGGATGAAGACGATGCAATTCTGCCCCGTAAAGACTATGAGGTGAAATGCCTCAAAAATGCGCTTCGTTTGTTAGAAAGAACATGAAAACATTGCAGAAAAAAGGGAAGAGAGAGAGAAATGTTGCTGGGAGTGGCTGCTTCTCCCCTAAAACACTAAAAATAAAGTTAAGAGTAGTCACCCAAAGCTGTTTCATCTCCGAGTATGTCTCCTTGAGCCTTCTAAATGAGCCTTTTTTTTTTTTTTTTGCCAAACTCTGTGACTTTAATCGATGTTGGGAAACTAAGCAAGGCCAGAGTTGAGTATCCTTGGAATGGAGACCACAAAGAAATCTTGGTATTGTTGTAGGCAGGACAAGAGGGTCAAAACAACACAGCTTGAAAGAATGGCAATTTTTTTTTTTGTACAGCTGGAAAGAAAATGGCTTGGACAAGTAGATTTAGTCACTGTAAAGTGATTTTTTTTTTTAAAGGGATGCGTAGCTCAGTGGCTAAGACGCTGAGCTTGTCGATCAGAAAGATTGGCAGTTTGGCGGTTCAAATCCCTGGCGCCGCATAATGGACCTGTTAATTGTCCCAGCTTCTACCAACCTAGAAATTCGAAAGCACGTAAAAAATGCAAGTAGAAAAATAGGGACCCCCTTTGGTGGGAAGGTAACTACGTTCCATGCGCCTCCAGGCGTTGAGTCATGACGGCCACATGACCACGGAGACATCTTCGGACAGCGCTGGCTCTTCGGCTTTGAAACGGAGATGAGCACCGCCCCCTAGAGTCGGGAACGACTAGCACTTATGCGCAAGGGGAACCTTTACTTTTAAAGTGATTTTAGGGTGGCATTTCAGTTACTCCAGAGCAGGTGGCTTCATTTACTTAGCCAGCCAGCTTCTTGCAGCACTCAAAATTAGGGTTGATGAATTATGTTCACGACCTCAATTGAGCCCTGAATTTTGGTTGCTAAGCAAAACATTTGTTGTGAGTTTTGCTCTGCTTTATTACCGCCTTTCTTGCCCCAGTTGTTAAGTGAACTGCTTGCAGTTGTTAAGTGAACTGCTTGCAGTTGT